ATGAGGTTACGAAGAAAGACAGTTACCCTCTTCCTAGAATTGACGACATTCTAGACACTCTTTCTGGAAGCAAGTGGTTCTCAACGCTTGATTTAAAGAGTGGGTATTGGCAGGTAGAAATACACCCTGATGACCGAGAAAAGACGGCATTTACTACGGGACAAGGGCTTTGGCAATTCAAGGTGATGCCGTTTGGACTGTGTAATGCGCCGGCAACATTCGAACGTCTTATGGAGACTGTTTTGAAAGGCCTTTCCTACGAAGCCTGCCTGATATACCTGGACGACATCATCATCGTCGGAAAGAGTTTTGAAGAACATTTAGAAAATCTTAGGAAGGTGCTTCAGAAACTGAAAGAAGCCAATCTGAAGCTGAGTCCCGCTAAATGCAAATTGTTCCGAAAGGAAGTGACTTACCTGGGACATGTCATCTCTGCAGAAGGTGTGCGCACGGATCCTGAAAAGGTATCAGCAGCGGTTAAATCCTGGAAACGTCCCGAAAATGTCCATCAGCTGAGAAGCTTCCTAGGGCTTTGCACCTACTATAGGAGATTCGTGAAGGACTTTTCTTTTCTTCCATCGCAAGACCCCTTCACAAGCTGACAGAGAGCAAGCAAAAGTTCTTGTGGACAAAAGAATGCGAGGATGCATTTAACAACTTAAAGGAAGCTTTAACATCTGCTCCAATCCTGACGTATCCTCAGCTCGACAGACCATTTATTCTCGACACCGACGCGAGCAATGAAAGTGTCGGTGCTGTTTTGTCCCAAGAAATAGACGGCCAAGAACGTGTAGTAGCGTACTGGAGCAAGTGCCTGTCTAAACCGGAGAGGAATTACTGTGTCACAAGGAAAGAGTTGCTCGCCATAGTCAAAGCTGTAGAACATTTCCATCATTATCTATACGGCAGAAAATTCCTCCTCCGCACCGATCATGCATCATTGACCTGGCTTTTAAATTTCAAGAATCCTGAGGGTCAAATAGCCAGGTGGATACAGAGACTCCAAGAATATGACATCACTATCCGTCATCGTAAGGGATCATCACACGGAAACGCCGACGCCCTGTCTAGAAGACCTTGCCAAGAAAGCTGCCGATATTGTTCCAGGGTGGAAGCGAAATACGAGCTGCTGACTCCGGTCGCAAGACAAATTACAACATCAACATCGGCTGATCGAGAACCGTGGAGTGATGATGAAGTCAGGAAAGACCAGCTGGAAGACCGCGACATTAAACCCATAATTGATTTAATGGAGTCATCAAACAGAAAACCTACCTGGCAGGACATTTCTATCTGTAGTCCTACAACCAAACAATATTGGGCACTCTGGGATTCACTTCACATTCGAAACGGCGTCTTATACCGGAAATTCGAATCGGATGATGGGAAGACGTTCCGATGGCAGCTGATACTTCCAAGATCCCGCATTCCTGATGTCCTTAAAGAACTACATAGCAGTCCTACAGGAGGTCACTTTGGAATAATGAAGACCTTGCAGAGAGTTCGTGAGCGCTTTTACTGGAATAATGCGAAGGATGACGTGCAAAAGTGGTGCCGATCTTGCGATGCCTGTGCAGGTCGGAAAGGACCGAAGAGACGCAGCCGAGGCAAGCTGCAACGTTACAACGTAGGGGCGCCTTTTGAACGTATCGCCTTTGACATCCTGGGACCTCTGCCACGAACTGCTGATGGCAACAAATACATACTCGTTGTCATTGATTACTTCACCAAGTGGCCTGAAGCGTATCCTATTCCTGATCAAGAGGCTGTCACAGTAGCTGAGGTAATGATACAGCACTGGATTTCCAGGTTCGGAGTGCCTCTTCAGTTACATTCCGATCAGGGAAGGAATTTTACCTCGGTAGTAATCAAAGAACTATGCAAACTACTCGGCATTGACAAAACCCAAACGACGCCATTACATCCCCAGTCGGACGGCATGGTAGAGAGGTTCAATCGAACCATCCTTAATAACCTCTCATTAGTGGTTTCCAGAAACCAAGCAGGACTGGGACAAGAAATTACCACTCTTTTTACTGGCTTACCGCAGTGCTGTCCACGAGACTACCGGCTATTCTCCATCACAGATGCTCTTCGGTCGGTCGTGACCTTCGTCTGCCTTGTGATCTATTGTTTGGCCGCCCTCCGGATGCTCCTTCATCGTCTGAGGAATATATTCAAGATCTCCAGGCCCGGTTTGAAGTGATGCACAACTTTGCACGAGAGCGAGTCAACTTGGCGACGGAGAAGATGAAGACCCGATACGACACAAGAGCTACTGAACATCAATTCCACGAAGGAGACAAGGTGTGGTTGTGGAATCCGACTCGACGGAAAGGACTTTGTCCGAAATTACAGTCACCTTGGGATGGGCCCGTACACACAGTCCTAAACAGGCTGAATGACGTCGTGGTTCGGATTCGTAAGTCTTCGAACTCTAAACCTAAAGTCGTTCATTACGACAGGTTAGCTCATTACTATGGCCATAGTACGTAATGTAAATAATTGTAAATAGTATCAGACCATGGTCCTTTTTTGTTTTAAATGTGTATTTGATTTGATTTGTATTTAGTATTTGATTTGCATTTAGTATTTGATTTGTATTGTATTTTGTTTGTATTTAGCATTTGATTTGTTTAAGTTAGTTATTGCATTTATTGTTTATATTGTTTGATATTGTAATGTAATGTTTATGCCTCAGTTGCATTTATGCCACAGTTGTAAGTTTAGCTTCCTGTCCAGGGATTGTACTGCCCGGGACGTGCAGTCCTTGGGAAGGGGGCAGTGTTACGAATTTGGTATTTAAAAAGCTAATGTTAGTTCAATTATAAATTAAATGGTTTTATTTCTCGCGCAGTGCAGCGCGTGACGAATATTAAAAAAGAGCTAAGCCGGAAAATTGAAAATACAAGAGCGCGTGCATTAAATAAATAAATATCTCTTTTTGATTTCGAGAAAGTACTGGAAAATTCTAGCGCGTGATTTTAAAATCTTATAAAAGGAGGAAAACATCTCAGTTTTGTAGTAGTAGTTGCTTAGTTTGTTGTTGTTTAGAAAACTGCTGTTGTTGATTGTAGCGAATTCGCGGATTAGCGTTCTTTAGCTGTTTTGAATTACGTTCTATTGACATTTGAGTAGTTAAAAGATAACTACTGTGAGATATTGTAATACTGCATGATAATTTGAGAAAATTTAAGCATTTTTGTTGTGATAATAAAAAGTTTTGTTCATTTTTCATCGGACTTGTGCATTCACTTCATAACGAATCCGTACGCACGCAACAATATGTTAATCTGCACAAATATTGAGAGACATGCATTCATGACATTGAACAAAAGATTACTTTCAGATACAACTAACCACGTGCTGTACACTTTATGCTGTTGCTTTTGAATGAAAAAATGCCAGAACGTTTATATCTTACAATTACTAAAAGTACAATTGTATTATTTCGTAAGTATGTCATTCCAGATATTCACTGGTCCATATAAGCCAAAACAAAATTTGATTATGCACAGATTTAAACAAGAATATTTAGCAGTAAGATAGAACATAGTGTAAATATGGAAAGTTCGTGCCAGATATATGAAGAGACAAACGAAGAAAGTTAATCGCTAAATTAAAGTAATTCTAAGCGCAATAGTCAACACTACATATTATTACACATTATTACATTTTATTCAAAACCTAGTTATTAATGCAGGTAAGAGATATACGCAAAGATATACAATACTGGTTCAAATACATACAATATTACTTATTTCATATAAATCCTACTAATTGCATTAAATTACACAAAACATATTACATATTGTTACATAATACTCAATATAATTATATGTCACATATTATCATTGTAAATATAAAAGACAGATCATAACCTAATATATTTAAAAAAACACAATACTTGTTACAAATCAATACACATTATAAAAGGTTGCAGTATCAAACACCAGGAGTACACCAGATATTCATGGATAAGCATAATTCTAGTCAAACAATGTTAAAATTATTGAAATAAACAATATATAAGAAAAGATTCGAACAATTAGGTTATGCACAGAAACTCTGGTGAAGTCAAATAAAACTAAATAAGAGCAAGAACATGTATGCATTTTGTTAAATCTTGTCGTTACATAAACAACATTCAGTAGTACCATAAATGTGCTATAATAATTTTCCACCATTAAAAAAAAAAAGTATGACCATGTCAAGACAGTTTGCAAGAGAGGCAAGCCGATTACAGATGAATCTGTATACAAATCAGAGCATATACCAATCACAAAGTACAGTTACAAATAAGTACATAAAACTGAAACTAAGCATTTGACATGTTAGAAGAAGCAGTCACCATGAGCAATGGGGAAACAATTATCCTATTTTAAATAAAGAGTCATACCAAAAATACAACCAAATCTAACTCATGCCATAGTAAATGCTGTAACAATTTCCAAGATAAAAGAAAAACAGCATTCAACACAACATATTACAACACATTATTACTTGTAACATAATAAAATTACTTTAAACTTATAATTACTCAAAAAAATTACACATTAAAACATATCAAGACTTATTATTAAATCATACAACACAGTAAAACATATTACTTGATAATATTACATGTTAGAAATGATGATTATTAATTAAACGTGTGACAAATGATTACTAAATACATATTGTAGCAATTACTTATAATTGGAGAACAACTAAAACTGTAAACAATTCTCAGAAAACAACTGACAATAACTCCTAAGAAACTAGGAACCTCACCCCAGCTCTTACACTAAAGTATTCTTCTTCTTCTGCTGACGAAGAAGTCTGTACCTGTACACTGCATTGTGTCAGTACTCTCTGCAGCTGAAGCCTACCTGCGCGGTTAGTTAAAATTTTTCTAGCCACTGAGGCCAGTATTGCTCCAGCGGTTTGGGTAAAAGAGTTTGCTTGAATACTGGACAATCAAAGACATAATGTTCAATATCAGCTAATCCACTGCAGTTTCAGCAATCGTCTGCGCTAAGTCTAAATCTGCGAAGATAGCTCTTAAAGGGACCATGTCCCGAGAGAAACCATGTTAAAGCCGAATTAACAGTATACAGTTTTGTCGAAACTTTATGTATGAATTTAAAAACTCGTCTTCCAGTCAAACCAGTAGACCATTGCTCTTGCCATTTACTCTGCAGTAAATACCATGTTAAAGATTTCAGGTATGATTGTGGTAATGGAAGAGATTGTTCTATGCGCTCCTGTGCAAGAGCAGCCTCTTTTGCCAAACGGTCTGCTAATTCATTTCCGAAGAGACCTTGGTGTGATTTGACCCATATGAGATTGGGTCGAAGAGAAAACGGAAGTTGTAACAATAAGTGTTGTATATCTTGAACAAGAGAAGTTTTGCTGGTGTAGTCTAAGATAGCCTCTAAGCTGGAAGCTGAGTCAGAATAAATAGTAATCTTAATCTTTTGATTTGTAATTAGGACCATTTGGTGGGCAAGTTGAAGCGCTTTTCGAATAGCCAAAAGTTCAGCTTGGTAGATCGTGTTAAATTTAGACAATCGCCTGTTCCAGTGAAAAGTCAACTGCTGATTCTTTAGAACACAAAGACCACTGCCAGTGCCACAGGCCATCCGTGAACCATCTGTAAATATAGAAATTTCTGCTTGACTTTGAGGAAGTATTTTTAATATGAATTGAATGTCGTAAGTTAAAGTCAGAGGGCTTGCAAATGAAGTTTGTAACCCGCAATTCAAAATCGTCTGGGTAAAATGTAAAGCCCCAGAGATTTTGCTGTGTACGTAGACGTATAATACTGGCTATAAGTGCCTCTCTCTCTACTTGTAGAGAGAGGGGAGGAATGCCTGTCAAAATCTGAAGTGCCGCAGTTGATGTTGTTCGATAAGCCTTGCTTATCAGAAGAAGATGTGATCTCTGTAAGGAATCTAACTGCCGCTTGGCTCCTTTATTAAGATTCGTGCCCCATGCTGATGCTGCATACAATATGATGCGTTGTGTAACTACTTGATACCAAAGTTTAAGGAAATGGGGTGGTACTCCCCATGTTGGTCCTGTTACTTTATGCATAGAATTAAGAATGCATATTATTTTACCCCTTAGATATTTAATGTGGGGAATCCAAGATAGTCGATTATTAATGATAACGCCCAGAAAAGGTAGGTTCTCCACGAAGGTAATAGAATAACTATTCAATTTTAGACTCGGATTACGCCAAAGTCGATGTCGTCTTCCAATTAAAATTGCCTTGGTTTTGGTGGGAGAAATGGTAATCTTGTGTCTTCTCGCCCACTCCTGGAAAATATTTAGTCCAAATTGTGCTCTTTTTCAATATTATGTCTACCGTAAACAATGATTATGAAGTCATCAGCATATGCAATAAGCTTTATATTTGTGTAAGAAGAAGAAACGCCTACTCGCACATGTAGGAATTCAGCCGAGGCAAGAATGACCTATCGACAGGACTGCGATTTATTATTCCGCGTGGCTGCAACTTGCGTTAGTTGGGGTCTAGTGATTGTCAGGCGAATATGGAAGCGATGTAGTTGGTTAATACTTGAATGCCATGCAGAATCCCAGAGGCCCGGACAAGTAACGCCCGTTTGGTTTAGCTTGGTTAGTTTATTTAATTGCGGTAAAGCATGCTAGGACTATCTGCCTAAACGATGCGTTCGTAGAGGGTTTTCTAAGGAAAAATGGCTCTTATATAAGTTACACGTAAGGAAGACCACAAAGGCGCCCATGCAGCCAGCTCATTCGCCTGAGATCGAACCCAAGTCCAAATAACAGTGTTCGTCGACTTTACCGCTCCGTCGGTGGTGTCCACTAAAGCCGGATATAAGAGACATGCTGTCCTGTCGGCCTTGCGGATCGTAAAGCCACGTCAGATATCCTGAGGGAGGAACTTGGCTCCTGTGCAGACGACAAGTGTCTGTATGAACAGGTACAGGTTGCAGGAAGGCCAGCACCTATGCATTCCCGAAGGTATATCAAATAAATGCTAACTGTTAAGCTCTACCCAAATTACATGGAAAAACCTCATTCTCATTTTCCAATGAACTCCCACCCCGGTTCTTCTACCACCAAGCACTCAACTTTGAACTCGCATTCGAGATCTCCTCTGCTGCACACCGTGCCTTTTTCGACACATCCATGCCTTCTCTGGTAATTTGGTAACATTCGAACCCGTGCTGATCCATATGGCAGTTACCGCCGCTAACCGCTATACCGCTTGGATGGCTGTCCGCACGGGTACACATCCCGGTCACCTCTTGTTCACACAGCCGGTAACGTGGACAGTCACCTTTGTATTTCTGACGTGTTAAGGCCTATGGCTCTGCCCTATTTTCGGAGCCTGCGCGACGCCACCTTTGACCAAGATAATGAGTGAGCGAATATTGCCAAAGTTGTCCACATCTTTCTCATTGCAATGGGTGTCGTCTGTTGCTCTGTTCGTTAACTGAGAATATCTAGTCATGGATTACCGAAAGACTCGGACGCCATCACTCGCTAGTAGCTCTGATTAATGAACTCTAGCACAGAGTTGATTGATGAACTCTGACAAAAACTGTATCTTTATAAAATGGCTTTCTCAAGTGACGGTGAGAAAAATGTTGTCCCAGCTTACGTTGAAAATGTGCCAGCCTATTTTTTAAAAGAATCAACAGAAATTCTGTAGTATTAAACTCTAAAGCAAAAATTCAGCGATTTGGGTTTCCCTAAGTATGCAAATACTGCCTTGCTCGGCTCCCAGAAAGCCGCAAATTTATATCACATTTGATTTCCATATTCACAGTCTTGAGTCTGCGAACTAATCGAAAAGCTTTTTCACTTGTGAAAAGAAGCACGTTCCCATCGAGATTAGTATGAACAGGCATTCACATGACTTTAGGTCCCAAAGTGTTTGTGTGAGTAGTGTGTTTCCAGCCATCCGGAAATCTGGTTGCTGAAAAAAAAAATCTGATGTGTACACCCCGACATCCGTGTACGGAATATTAAATCATACGCATTTTTTCTTGCATTTCATTTAAACTTATTGGATTCAATTAAATCTACTTCGCCGATAGCGCATAAGCCACAATAGAATAAATGCATTCTTTAAAATTCACTCTAGTATTTGTTTACCATAGCGACACTCTGGCGCTAGGTTCACTTAACAGTATTATATTTCTTTCATATTATAACTCAGAATGCACAAAATTTATATCATTTAAAGAATAGAATTATCTAATCGCTGCCACATGTTCTATTCAAATACTATAATAAAGCTAGAATGATGTACAAAAGAAATTAAGCAAACAAACAAAAAAGAAGCAGTTTTTAACAGACGATTGAGTATTTCTCATTCAATTAATTCCGTTCTCACTTCGCGAGAAGGCAAAAATACATAAAAACTCAAAATATCTATATTAAAAATTACTAAGTAAATCTTAAACACTTATTTCCTCGAAAAAATTCCAGAAACGATCAAGCATGATTTAATTGGCAATAATAAATGAAGGCGTTATCTTTGTTGTTGCGAAGCTAAGTTTCTCTAGATTGGCAACAAATCCACTAGTCTGCTGTTTCAAATGTAAACAATCAATGTCCGCCATAAAAAAAAAGGCTTAGCGGCACTTAAACAACTTTAAAATTGTTGATAATTCTAAAAATATTGCATACAGATTTACTAAAGGCATAAAAACCTTAACCAGAAGATAAGAACAACATAATTCAATCATTTTTAAAGCAAAAAAATGTACAATTTACAAACATATACTAGTAAGGAAACTGAGATCACTGAGACGGGTAACAGAGTGGATATATATATAAATATATTTACATACGTTTGGTGCGGCCGATTGCAACCAAAATACGAGGTGCACATCTACATGTTATAGCAGTCCTATATACAAAATTTCAACGTTCTGAGAATGCTCGTTTTTGAGTTATGCGAGATACGTACGTACTGTGATACTTCTTTGGCAAATGAAGTAACTCCAATGATGGAACACAGAAGAAGAAAAAACTTTATTTAGCAATCAAAATAGTGACATACAAAACAAGAAGAAAAAAGAATTCTAAAATTTAAAAATAAATTACATTCTTCGTGCGAGAGTCGCACGTGGCGCTCTAGTCTGGTTTCAAATATTGTTATTCACAAATACCTTAATGTTCATCTATTTAAATTATTTAAACTACAAGATTTTAATAATATTTAAAGCTGTTACAACCTCTTCCCCAACGGAGAGACTTTTACCGAAGGGAAAAGTTCTGAAAAATTCGAAAGTTTATAAGCTCGGCTTGCTTAAAGAGAAAAGGTAATTTTCTCTTATAGATTTCCAAATTTCAGGCCAAACATTTTAAGTTTTAAACAAATACTTTTACACCACATTTAAATAGAAAGAAATGGAGAACGTTCAAATACATCAGTTGAGCATGCATTAAATAATAAAATAAATTCTAAACGTATTACATTCACTAAGTTATTATATTACTTAATTCTACTCAGAACATCTACATTCTTGTGCAAAGATCCTTTGCGATGAATGACCTTAAAATTATTAGGTTGTAATGAGAGTGCCCAGCGCATCAATCTAGAGTTACATTTGGCGTTGGATTGTAGCCAGACCAAAGGGTTATGATCAGATTGAATCAAGAATTCTTGCTGACCATCCAGATAAAAATGCAGTTTCTTGATAGCGTAGATGATAGCAGCGCACTCCTTTTCAGTAGTACAAATAATTCTTTTCAAACTGTTAACTTCCTTTTGTAGTTAAATTAATCACTCGTAAAATGGTTGTAAAAGACAAACATTTATTTGAAGATAAATCTTAACCTATACGTAACGTATTCGTAAACGTACATAACATAACTAACGTACTTACTGCATCGTACCGTTAAACATTTGAAGCGTACATCATCTGAAAGTATATTTTTTAAAATTATAAATAGAACGACATCCAGAAATTAGCTGTTGCCATTTTCTCAATAGATAATTTGTCTAATAACAATTAAATAATTTACAATCGTTCTTACAAAACTTAGTAAATTTTTTGCTTATATACAAGATAGGATGTTCACGTTGTTCATCATCTAATTGGCATAGTTGGCATAGTTGGCATAATTGGCATAGTACTATACCCATGCCACTGTCGGAGGCATCGCTTTGTACAATAAACCTTTTATCAAAGTCGGGAGCATACAGAATTGGTTTCCTGCATAGCAACTCTTTTAAATTTTAAAAGCTTTGTCATATATTTCAGACCATTGTATATTTCCTTTTTTTGTTATCCCTTTCAAAGCGTCCGGGAGGGGTGAAGCAATTTCCGAAAATCTCGGTATGTACTGGCGATAATACCCTACTAGTCCTAAGAAAGCACGTACTTCTGTTTTGGTTTTAGGTGTAGGATACTCCTTTACAGCCAGGTTCTTTACTTCATCCGGGGTTCGTTGTCCTTGTCCCACAACATGGCCTAGATATCTCACTTGATCTTGTGCAAATTTACATTTTGATGGTTTTAGTCGTAAGTTTGAAGTTATTTATTTGAAGTTATTTGTTTGAAGTTAAGTATTCTCTCTAGAACAGAAGTTAAGTTTTTAAGGTGCTCTTCCCAGTTTTCTGAGTAAACGGCAA